GGGGGGGGGGGGGGGGATTAGGAGAGAAAAAAAATCAAACGAAGACATCTTTTATGGAGAAAATACCGACCGTCCGTCTGTGACTTGTTGAGGAAGAGGGTGCTGGCTCTGGGGTGGTCTGACGGGTTGGCTTCTTGGGCCAGTTCTGTAAGACGAAAGCATGAAAGTGGCTGTGGGTCTCCATTGTGGTTCTATTGTATAGTGACACAGAAACAGCGTGAAAAACATGCACCCACCGTCGGGGAGCTCCCTGTCGCTGATGTGCTGCAGGTAGGTCCCGGTGTCTTCGCTCACGTCCTCGGTGGTGGTGATGGGACACTCCTCCAGCTCCACCTCTCTCCTGTGGACCTTGGGACTCTCCCCCGGGGAGATGCAGCAAGACACAGAGCCTCCCATCGTTGACCTACAACAGCCCTGCTACAGCCGGCACCGTTTCCCATACAACTGGGCAGGGATCACCTACTAGTCTACTGCAACTTCCACAAAGTTTAATCTCAATCTTCTAAGTGGCTGATGATCAAATCTAACACCAAAGTGAATCTAAGGTCTATTTTTTTTTTTTTTTTTTATATATTTAAAATGATCTAATTTTACTTCAGTATACGAGAGACCAGTCTAGGCTGGTTGTTTGGCTGCAAGGTGAGCTCCAGAGCAGAAAGGGATCTATGTAATGACAGCCAGCTGGGTATATGCGGTGTGTGCGGGACAGCTGACATATTCAGGGCGTGTGCGCAGCATAGCACTGGCGCACTTTAAGGAGAATTACATGCGTGGACTGAGTCGTTTTGGACGGCGAAGAACTTAAACCAAGTCATTTGACGGACTAGAGGCTGACAACACAAAGTCACAGGCTCCTCTAGCTCCCTCCATGGCTGGCCGGCCAACGCTAGCTCCCGCACCTCAATCCATTCTCACTGCGGCGGAAGTCTCTGTCACAATAAAAGACTGTTTCTGCCGGACTCACGGACGAGTTGACTGCGTGGGAGAGACTTTTGGGGGAGAGCTAAGGAAGCGGAGAGGTGGCGAGGGCTGGGGTTTGGAAACGATAGCCAGCGTTAGCTTTCATCTCGTCGCATTTTGCAGGACACGTCTTGGATGTCAAATCCGCCGAAGAAGTTAAGTTCAGAGGTAACTTCCGGACACTGCCTTTCAAACTAAATGTCGTCCTGTGTACTTTTAAGATAAGATATTCCAATATTACAGCGGCAAAGTGGATGGAGCAAAAAAACAGTATAAAGACAGTATAAAGACAGTAAGAGTATGAAAAAATAATATAATAAAAACACTGTACAAGAGAAAAAACAGTCAAAAAACACAATAACACAAATACTAGCAGCAGTTGCACATGGGCAATAGATTGCACAGTAATTATTTGTATATAATAATTATTTAATCATAATTTGTACTGTACTATTGTAATTTTACTTCACTGCAATTATTTGACAAATTTTGTTACTTGTTACTACAAAACACATGTTTTATGTATGTACAGCTAAAAAGAGGAGTTAATTAATTGATAAGTTGATTGGTATGTATTTAGATACTTGATTAAATCATTTTTAATGCACTGAGAAAGAAAAAAAGCTATTATTTTATGTAATTGTGAACAATGTTGAGGTTTCTACTACACAAAACAAGCATACAGCACTCAGGAAGAAAGGTGGCTGGTAAAATATAAAAAGAAAATTAAACTACAACCAAGTTCAGCATGAATTCATGATGGCTGTGATTGATTCCCTCGGTTTATACGGCAAAAAAAACAAAAAAAACACGTTGAAACTGTTCAAAGGACTCGTGTAGCAAAATCAAATAGCCAACTTTAAAACCTTCAGATGATAAAACAATTATAGAAAAATGGAAATGCATAGTTTTGAGGACAAAACTAATCTAGCATCCAGATAAAGGAAATTTTGAAAATTAACTTTTGAACTTTTGTGATACATGACACATATAGAACAATAGACAAATCTGTATTTTCCTGTGTTTATTTTATTGTTTTATACTTTAACCTTTAATCACACAAACATCATTTAAAACTGCGCTTAAGTTCCATGCTTTTATTTTGTGTGCAGGAACCGGAAACGACCCTGCGGCTACGTAGTTGTGAGCTTCACGTGCAGGCCCCGCCCCCTCCATTACAGAGAACACACAGCCGTTGAGAAAAACCTTCGTAGACACGCCCATCATAAAATCAGGCCCTCCCATTGGTCACCGCCAGCTAAGCAGTCACCTGATTGGCTGGAAATGCCAACGCGTTACGATACATAGACGCTTGAATGGACTCTATTCCTTACGTTGTTTTTTCAACGTAGCGACGTTGTGAAGTGACGAGGCAGAACATTTGCGTGATGATATTGGATATTTCGGAGAAAACAGACGACGGTAGGATTTAAAAGAAGAAAACGGACACTGAAGGCGGTAGTTCGCTCCACAAGATGGCAGTAATGACTCGGGAAATCAGCTCGCTGCCTTAAAAACCTCAAAGAAGGAGAACCACACTGCGCATGCGTAAATGAAAAAGGGACACCAGGTAAATATGGCTGTATAGTGCAGTTTCTGTTCATTTCACAGCATGGCTCTGGTTCCGTACGTGGAGAACTCGTTACCTGCGCTCTCCAAACTCCACAACTCATCAGCACAGTTTCACTTCGCCAACCACGACCTCCGTCTCGCCCAGGACTGGAAAAAGCTTGGGGTCGCAGCAGTTGTGTGGGATGCGGTAGGCGACGCTATCAGTGGCAACGTTACTGCTGTTCGTTATTCATTAATGTGATTATAGTCTGTTTTCCAGGCGGTTGTTATGTGCATGTACCTGGAGCTGGGGAAGGTGGAGGTGAAGGGGAAGGAAGCTATTGAACTGGGAGCTGGCACTGGACTGGTGGGCATTGTGACAGCCCTGCTGGGTGAGTTCATAGACTTTTTAAAGGGTATTAAACATGATTTTACTGTATCAGTCAATGTCATATTCTTAACCTTTCAAGGTGCCAAAGTGACCATCACTGACAGACAGCCTGCCCTGGACTTCCTGTCTGCCAATGTGAAGGCAAACCTGCCCCCAGACTCCCAGGGTGCAGTGGTTGTGTCTGAGCTGACCTGGGGCGAGGGCCTCGAACAATACCCAGCAGGGGGATTCGAGCTGGTGCTGGGAGCAGACATCGTTTACCTGGAGGACACCTTTGTGCCACTGCTGCGGACTCTGGAGCACCTGTGTTCGGACACCGGTGTGGTGTTACTGGCCTGTAAGATCCGCTACAAGCGAGACACAGACTTCCTGAGCATGCTGAAGCAGCGGTTCACAGTCGAAGAGGTCTACTACGACAAACAGAGGGACATCCATGTGTATAAATCTTGGAAACTGCCACCTAGGGAGGATTTGTGACAACTGAGTGCTATTTAGTCAGTTTTCATTCATTGATTGTGTTCTTATTTGTAATTATTTACTGTTTTTTTGCATAAGAATCAAATAAAATGTTCAAAAATCACCAAAGATTACCAGAAACACATTTATTAACAGCTGCCAAAAATGTAATATTTCAATAGCTCTAACATAATGCACTGTATTATACAAGTTGGTGCCGACATTTAGAAATTGTGAATACAAAATTAATGAAAAGCAACATTAAAAAAAAAGCATACTATGTAATGACAATACATAATACCTTAAGTAATACAATATGGCATTTCATCATCATGAAAATATCCATTTTGTTCACCGTGAAGTCGCTCTCTTTTCGATTTGGTCGCATTTTACAATGCTTTCGCAGGGCGTCTGATAGGTGCAATCGAACCGTACTCTGTGAGATATGAGGCCCGGCACAACTAATAACGTCTAATCAAATGCACGATGATGCCTTGATCATCGCTAAGCAACAAAACACTCATGACAGTAACTGATGACTGGTTAGCAGGGTTACTGGAGTAAAACCTGACATTTTCCTGTGGTATAGTGAAATGTGTTAGGATTGTATATGCAAGGAAAGTGCGCGTGCCACTTTGTAATCCTGTAAACAGAACTCTGAAGCGGCCTCTGCTGATGCCTTATCAAAACTTTCCCCAACAACAAAATGGTGCGGTCATGACATGTTCAAAGACAGTATGATACATAAACATTCAAGGCAACCCATGATTCCAGTGATGGACCACGTGTTTCCAAAGTTTGTTTCGAAATATGGAGTCAAAGGGGAGCGCCCTTGTAGCTCACTGGGTAGAATGCGTGCGAGGCATGGGACGATATGGATGTTTGATTTCACAATTTTCCTGGCCAAACTCACTGCGACTGACATCATATTGTTAATCAACATATTAAAACTCTTTAAAATGGCTTTTTAATTTACTGGGATCATTTTACCTTATTTAGTTCAGAAACAAATATTTTATTGCATCACTGATGGGTCACCTCAGACCTGCATCTCACCTCCCTGTCCTTCTTTAGTTAGTAGTTATACACATCCGAATTAAGGTCATTTGTGGGGAGTACAGCGGGGCAAGCCGAGCCCGCAGCCATGGTGACTCTGGAATGATTGGAGAGATGCAGGCTCCATTGAAAGGAGGCAGGGAGATCAATATTAGAGAGTGTACGTTAGCAAGCAAGATCGCTTTTCAAGTCACTCATGAGGATATTCACGAACTCATCGGAGTGTTTTTAATCACGATAAAACCACGTGTCGTCCCATCCCTAGCGCATACTTTGTGTCGTGGCTGAGCATTTACAGTAGCGGCCCAAGTCCGAGTCGTATACTGAGGCCCTTTCCTGCATGTCATCCCTTCTTTCTAATGTCCTGCCAATAAAAGCTAAAGGCAAAAAAAGACAAAGAAGACATATGCAGGCAAGGTATTTCTTCCATTGCAAAACAAGTAAGGCTCATTGTTTTTGTTCAAATCCAGGAATTAATCAAATTAATCTAAAAGAAATCCATAATACTAAATTATGGGAGAAGACAGCACAAACACTGTAATTTAACCGTTTTATGTTTACATCATTTACTCTGACGCATGAGCAGCAGTTCATCTGAGTTTTATTCTAGAGGCATATTATGCCACGGGGACCCTGTTTACTGTACAGTACAGTGAGCTAAACGAAACTAAATGAGTGCTCCTTTTATATGTCTGGGGATGTTTTTGTTAAGATTGCCAGAAACAAAAAACAAAGAGCCTTACTTAGGAATATGATCTGAAACATGCATCAGAGACCCAATAAACACTTGGAGTTAAATAAATGTTCCACTTGAGAGATGTTCAACTACAGTCTCTTTTTTGTTCATGTCGTATCAAGGCAGAGTAAATTAAAGTAGTAAAAAAAAACAAAAAAAAAAAAAAGTCAATGGCATTACGCAAGCAGATAATCCAATACATAGTAAACCAAAACATAGCTAAAAGATAAAAATGTCCATGACACAGCCCATCTACATTTCAAAGCATTAATAAGTAACAGATGTTAATGCAAGAGCTCAGTTACAATTACAAATGTTGCACACGAAGGTAACCTCCAAGTGTCTCGGGGAGATTTAACTGTAAAAAGTTCCGTCGGTAGTGGCGATGGCAATTGAGCAGTTTCCCGTTGCTGGTGATGTTGCCCAGTTCGTCCAGGCACCAGAGACTGGAATGCTTCCCATCAGTGGCATCGAAACATGAAACAGCCTCATTGTCTGTTCTATTGCGTCACCACAAGGACCCTGTATAGTTGAACTCTCCTCCACGTCCGTCCTTGACATTGCCTCACCCTTTCATGGGAAACTGATGGGAACAGAATTACGATTTCAAAAATCGCTGAAGTGGGAGGTGGTGTGTTTTTCTCTATTCCTGGTGAGTCACTTTACAGATATTTCAGCAGTTTTTTAAAAAGAAAGCAAAAGAGTAGAAAAGGGGGAGTGGCATCCAGATGCATGGCTCTGTGCTGAGTCTCTGTACATGGGGACAGACGGGCACCTGTTGAGCCACTGACAGGCGTTTGGTGACCTTTCTACTCAGATTTGTGGCAGTACAAGTCTTTGAGGGCTTTGAGTTCCTCGATGAGGGTTTTGTTCTGGTTCTCCAGCACAGCCACGCGGTTCTCCAGACACTTGACGTACTCCTTCTTCTTCCTGCGACACTCGCGGGCGGCCTCCCTGTGAGACATCAAGACCATGTGTGAGTCTATGTCTGTGGTCAACGTCTAAAATACATGCTACACTTACTTACATGGCCTAGCCGCTTCATTTGTTGCATGCAACACCCGCCCAGTGAGGAAACCCTCAAATGAGCACCTGTGTAGTATTTCCCTCCTTTAAGTTTCTACCGAGCCACTGAAAGGAGCGCCACAGTCAGCTCTGCTTTAATTGTAGCATTCTTTAGCTCAGTATCAAAGGTAACAGCACCGTCCAAGACTACAGCGTGAACTACAAAGTTCTACACCATCTGTTTACCTCCTAACGCACATACCTGTTTTTCATAAGTCGGACCTCCCTTTTGCGTGTGACTTCTTCGGTGCCTCCCCCCGTGCCCAGTGCAGGCGAAGTTGCCATGACCACCCCAGGAGTGATGGCGCTGGTGGGGGTTGTGCGGATCTGATAGGCCTGGACATCACCAGAGGCAGCTGCCGGACAAAAACAGGCAAGAACAAGGTTTTTATTTATTTATTTTTTTCAAATACAGAGAGAGAAAGATTCACTTGAAAACATTTGTGCACAACTGATTGGTTCACTTTAAATATGCTCATGTTTAACTATTTCCCCACCTTGTACAACCACCTGGTTGCTGGGCACAAGGATCTGCTGCCCGTCGCTGGTCTGGGCGTACTGCAGGATGGTGGCCCCGGGCTGGGCTGCGCCGGCGTTGGCCATGGTCAGTGTCTGCAGGCCCTGCACTCCGTCGGTGCCGTTATTGGCCAACTGGATGGCGCCACCCTGGGTGATGGCAACTGCAAAGGGACATCGTCATGTGTAAGGATTAGTCTCAAATGAACTTCTGGGATGTTATCCAAAGCCAGTGCATCAGACACTGACTCTCTGTCCTTTTCCTACAGTATACAGCTTAAACACAGCTAACTGCAACAATTCACTTTCTATTTGTTATACTGTCCCTGTGCAATGTGAAGCAGTATCACTCGCTATTAATGCAACAACATAATACTACTATACATACTATGTGTCAAGACAAACTCTGCCCAATGTCCGTCTTCTTGAACCAGGAGAACCGAGATTTGCAGCACTTCATTATAATGCTGTTTTATCGCACATTTTACTTTTATCACAAATACTGCAGCTGTTGCAATTGTAAAGAGCAAAAGGACAGCAACTCCCACATGTTGCAACGACATGTAGCTTCCTGTATTCCACCCAGAATCCAAAAGTACTTACTGTACTGGCCACTGCTGGTCTGATAGATGGGAGTAGGCATGGTGACTGTGGTGATGGCAGGGGCTGAGTCGTCCTCTGACTTTTCTTCCTCAATTCGAGGTACAGCAGGAACGTCTGACGATAAGTCATTCAGAATCTTCCTGCAAAAGGGGAACAATCAGAGAGAAACCTCAGCAAACTTTTTCCTTTTTTAAAAAACAACCAGTCACAATTATTTACCCTCCCTCGTGAACATTCATACATGCCTTCTATCATGTGCTGAACAGCAACAGTAGTTAATAAAATGGAAGAGCATCAGTCATTCTCTTCCAGCTATGAACACACAATCAATAAATCTGGAAACATTAATAGATAAGTGAGAAGATGTCACACAGACCTATAAGAAGGTCGTCTGGACAGGATCTCTCGCCTCTTCTGAGAATCTGTCACGCTGTCTACAGACTCCTGAGAGTCCTCGCTCTCCGCAACAGTTGAAATCTGTGACGAAAATCATTTAAAAACCACTTTAATTTCACGCACATACGTCATTTCCACGGATGTGTTTCACCGCAGATATGCAGCCATGAAGGTGGAGCCAAAAGTGAGGCAAGAAAATACAACTACAAACAAACTCACGACGCCAATTATTAACTTTAATTACGTCTTATTATTGTCGAGCGTTCTGTGATTTTTATGTGCCGAAATAAAACCCAAAAGTGTCTCCTACCTGAACCGTCTGGACTTGTGGAGACTGGATGACAGAGGGCTGGGCTGCTTGGATCACCCCATGCACTTGGACTGTCTGGCCATTGGGTAACTGCACTAGGGTGACTGTGGGACTACTGGACGACACCTGGGCTGCTGCTATGGACGCCTGCAACCCATAACCATACACTGTCTGTATGCAGCGTTATGAACTGTTCTCAGCAGCAGCAGTGACTCTCTTGTTTTTCAGAGAGCCATTATGCAGTCATCATTATCATTTATACCGCCACATGCATGTAGATTTGAGAAGCGATGGGGATATTTACCTGGGTCAGGGTGATCTGCTGGGCCTCAGATTCCGAGACTGCTGTTTCACCACTTTGCTGTGTGTCTGCACCAGCCTCCATGGTCATTTAAAATCTGCACAAAGTAAGAAACTGCTTGTTTGGGTGTGTATCGCCATGCTTAACATTGTGTGTGCAGCAGACAGGGAGACAGTGGTGTACAGTGCACAGCAGATCCTCTGGAGGTTGTGCCTCATCCACACTGATAGTTGATATTCTAGGAGGAGGGTGTGGCTTAGCTTAACATGCTAGCACCTAATTCACTTAGAAAACTTTTTTTTTTACCTGCTAAAATCGCTTTTAAAAGCGTGCAGCAGGTGTGGCGTCGCAAGACACAGCAATGTAATGTGTGAGTGTGTTTAAAAACACGCTGCTGCATTTACACAAAGCTAACAAGTCACACTCGGCATGCTAACGGAGGCTAGCTCCGTGCTAACAAGCTTAACACGGATGGTTCAGCGCCGCAGCCATTTCTTTAACATTTTTTTTTTTTAAAAACATATGCCGCATTTTTTTGGGGAGCTTTTTGCTGCAAGATACAACTGTAGTCCAAAAAAAAACAACACCTAACATTGCACTGACCGAGCATTAATAACGCTAGGTCGCTAGCTGTGAGCCCGTTTGGAGGGAAATGTCTGCATGCACTGTTTGCTGTATTATGCCAGTTTTTTGTTTGCAACTACTTTCACTAACCGGTCTGTTGGCTCACTTTTACTCAGACACAATGTTGACGTGAACAGCACGTAGAGCTGCTTCTGTAACGTACCTCTAAAGGCTGTTTATGAGAAGAAAAAACCACACATTTTAAGCCCACTCCCATATTAATACCTATGTCTCTGTTGTGTTGCGAGCAAGCGAGCCCTGCAGAGACTGACTCATTTTGTGAGCCTCTGCAACACGGCCGCCATGATCTCTTTGTTGGCTTTGTGCGGATATTAGGCGCAAATAACTTCTCTGGGCAGCCATCTATCTGTTTAGCAAACATCGGATGCGTATCCTCTTACCAACACAGACTCGCTTCGTCACTCCCGGGTCTACGGAGCTCCACTTTTATTCAGACCGACACGTAAGAGACCGCGTCAGGCTACACCTCCGTCGCGTCACCGAGAACAACAACACGGAGAGGAGGACGAGGGAGACGACGACAGAGGATCAGCTTCGCCGAGAGGACTCGAGCGGACACGGGGAGGGCCGGAAAGTCACGAAGGTTGCCGAGGAGACGATGGAACGCCCCGAAGATAGCCGAGGGAAAGCGCTTCGGCGGTCTAGACGCTGCAGCGGCGTATTGCTGCCGTCCATTGCTTTTCCTTTTGATTTTTACTTATATTTTTGTATATTCCGATCCTGTGTAGATACTCCATCGTCTTCTTTTTAATCCAGGTTGAGTATAATGTGAAGAGTGGCTTTCTCCAGCTGCTCTAAATTCTCAAAGCCCTGCACTGGATGAGTTTTGTGTTTTTGTGTGTCTTCGTGTGTGTGAGTTTCCACACCCACATTTGCCATCCAGGTGATTCTCAGTAAGAGCCAGCCCACAATGTCTCAACCTGGTTATAATAACGGAATCGCTCCTTTTTTAGGCGAAGTTTCTCCTCAAACTTATCTGAGCATGCGCAGCAGCAGAATGGGCTTTATTAACAAGATGCTAAATGAAAAGTTGATCATAACTGGTTAAAGGCTCCCTGTTGCATGGCTTCTTTGTTTCTGTTTTTTTTTTGTGTGCTTTTTTGTACTTTAATAATGTAATTATCACATTGATCCACAACAATAAGAATATTGTCATGTCAAAAACCTCAAAAAAGTATGAACTAAAATCAAAACACACAATTGCTTTCACCTTTGTAATCAAATCAATTTTTTTTTTTTTTAAAAAAAACCTGCTAATCATGAGAACCAACTGAGACAATGACTTTATGTTGTAAATTTTAAGTTTTACATATAAACTAAAATATAATATAAAATGATATACGCTACAGTATTAAACATATAGTTCTATTTTTAAACCAGATGTTAGTTTTGATTTATAAAACATTTTCAGTAAAGGCACATTGTTGAGATTGTTCAGAAATCCATGGACTGCGTTACTGTTGCGGTACACATGGTGGTAGCAAAATCCTTCTTTATTTCTCCCCACCATGACAGCACAGACACTGCCCCATTATGTTATCTTTAAGCACATGTTTCTTTTATCTCAGCCTGATCAGTAATCTGTGACTTAGATTAGCCTTAACTGTGATACTGACTTTCTACCACCAAACTACATTGTGATTTTAATGAGAAAGCACTGGGTTTCAGCCCTGTATTACTGATTACGTACTATTTACAGCCCTCAGGATTCACATTACATTTGCTTCTCCTTGGTTGTTGAATTTGGCCATAAAATGTACTCATTAACTCTGTCGCTCGGTGTGTGAGGACCGGGGCCGTAGGAGTGAAATGGGTTCTAAGCTGTGGCAGCTGGTCAAAATCCTGCAGGGAAAATGAGACTTCAGACCAATTTATGACCATCATCTCTATGTGCGAGGTCATTTCGGAGGTCTCTTAATACACACACACACACACACACACACAGATGTCAAACATACCCATCTTCACCTATCGAGTGATTGACTACACAACTGCTGACCCAACCAATCTTGTGTCCTCTATAAGAAACTGTCTGAATCGTATCTGCCAACAAAAGTCTTACATTTTGCACTTTCTATTCAAAGTGAGGCACCGATGATGAACCGTGCAGTCACATGTTCATCGTTAACACTCTCACAGCAAATATCATAAATATTTGACCCAAAGCAGCCTTCGTACCTTCTCCTGAGTCCATGTCAGTGACTTGATTGGACATTGATTTCCCTTAATAATGACCACCAGCTAGGATAGCCATAGAAAACCATAAGTATTCTGAATTCTAGAGGGCAGGTTTCCTTAGTTAGTACTCAGTGTGCACTTGGCTATGTAACCTGTGCATATTCATATGATTAAAAAATGAGTCCACAATTTGTATGCCTGTTGTGCATATTTAGTCAAAAAATGGAGAAACATAGCAGAAAAGCAGTATATTAAAAATGAATGACAGTTGTGTTAGGGCTGCAACTAATGATTATTTTCATTCCTGATTAATCATGCAGATTGTTTTCTCAGAGAATTAAACTATAAAACGTCACAAGATATTTAATTTACTACTGAGGAAATTGGCATAGACCCAGTAATTTGTTGGCGTTTTTGACATGATTTATTATTACCATACATTCATTAAATTTGTTGCTAATTCATTATTCTGTGCATTGAGTAATCTTATCAGCTCTAAATTTTGTATTTATTAAGTTCCCTTATTAAGCCTTTCACATATGACCACACAAACAGAATCAGACAATCCTTGCATCATTCACTTCTCTATCACACCACTGTCACGTTTTCTGAGCCCATATCGACGTGGCCTGGTGATTAAATCAAATTTCTGATTCTGACTGCTATTGCTGGTGAGCTCTGGCACAGAATATCTGATTGCAAGGTGTTATTTATTTTTTTTTTTTTTACCACAGCGCTCTGTAGCAACGACCCTGGCTGTAAATCACTGCTGAAACACCCACAAACAGCAGAGTAAAATGATTCCACAGACGTCCAAAATGGTGTAGGAGGAGGAGGATAGGAGTTTAATCTTCAGAATATGAAGCAGAGACCTGACTCCAATCCATAGCCCTTTCCTTTCTCCTTAAACCCAGCTGTCAAAGCCCCTGGCTTAACGCAAGCCTCCAAAACCCCATCGACAGCAAGCCCATGACACTTTCTATTTCCCCAATTTTTCTGTCTCTCTCTCTGTTTTCATCTCTTCCTCTTTCTTTTTCACTCTGTTTGTCCTTTTTTTCTCCTTCTGTGTGTGTGTTTTTTCAATCACGCAGTTATATGAAAAATCAAAACCCTATCTAAATCATCATCTGAGGCGCTGTATGTACCGAGCACCCCCCTCGGCGTCAGGCATGTCTTCTGCAATATTGAGTGTATTAATAACATGCCTGATATATTCTGTCAACATTGCTGGCGAATTTTAAATGCAGTCTTCAATCAAACCGAGTGGAAATATCATACCTGCCACTCAAGCAGGGCATTGTGGGAGATGTCGTCTCATATGGGCTTGCAGGAGGCCACGTGGCAGCGTCCAGAGAGAGGCTGAATATGAATACGACGGGGAGAAAACATGCAGTGCATTTGAATATCACTGACCTTATATGCATGCTTTTTATCGTAGGTTGAATTACCTGAATTGCATATGAACCAGTGCACCTGGCTGGGGTTGCCATGGATACTGGGCCCCCACAGTCTGTCTCTTTCTATCATGCACACACACACGAGCTAGGTTCTCAAAATCTGGAGATGTGAGTTTCAGAGATACCCAGTAAAATATTGCGTCGCTAAGGTGCATCAAGCTGCAGCTGCAAGGCAGGAGAGTTATCTAACACACAGATTGTGCTGACCCAGACCTCTTGCTAATCTAGGCTGTAGGCAACACCGTGTATTGGGCGATCTCAATCAATCCGTCAAGGTGTCAGCGCCTCCCTCCCTCTGTATCTCTTCCTCCTGCAAGGATTTTTCGCCCACTTCCCTCCCTCCCCCCGGCATCTTCCATCCTGTGCGTCTTTCTTTCTTAAAGGCTAAGTTCAGATTTTTTTCAAGTCCGTCTAAATACAATACTCACACGTCCAAGAGTTATTAGTCACTGTAATTGTTCCTCCTCCAACAGTTCTGTGCAAAAAATGTATTCCAAAGTTCAGCCAAAGCTAATATGAAGCTGTCTTAGTTAGACAAATTAAGCGTGGAGCTTTCAAAATCATGTTATTATTTTTTTAAAGAATTACTTTATTGATTTGACTTCCACCAATAAAACTGAATGCAGGACAGAGATGTGTATGTTATTTTACTATGAGCTAATAAACTGATACCTGCATTTGAATGCAAAATACAAGATACTGCTATTGTTTCTGTTTGTCAGAGTAGTATTGACCAATCACAGCTATTGCCTGATGCGTTTTATTAGCTTATTTAAATTTAAATTTAAATGTATCTGCATTTGTGTTTAACCATCCAGTCGTAGATGTCGTCTCTCTGTAATAAATGACTACAGCGCATTAAAAGGGGAAATCCTTTATCCGGATATCCACTGGGTACACCAGAATCCCCGAAACACTGGTTGTTGCCCTAAATTTGCTGCTGAATTGTTGTCTGATAATAGCCGATGGGGTCCGACATTGACTGATCTAATAAGATAATAAGATAAAAGATGAAGAAAAGAAAGAAAGAATTTTAAGTCGAATAATTTAACCTCTTTTTCAATACGACTGAATCTTAAAATGACATCTCTTTCAGATAACTCTTACCAGTAGTGCTATAAACATGGCAGTGAAGGTTGCCAATTTCAGTTATTCATTTTAAACACCATCTTGTTACTCTCAGTCCAACTTTTGTGCTGCTGCAGCATCTGTAATTTTCTTCTTTGACTGCCGGAAGTTTTAAGCTGGTCTCTGGTGTTTTTTTATCGGCCGTGTTTGGCTTCACATAGGTAGGCGAGCCCTTCTCACACTCCTCCGCGTATGTCAAAACGATTTGAGCTCCAAACGAGGCCGACTCGTCCTGTTAAGAAACCAGAAGTGTGCGCCGATACTACAATCTTTCCTTTAATTGGGGTTCTGTGGAGAGAGATAACTTCCTGTTAAGGTATTCATGCTGCAGGTGAAACATGTAGTCCAAACCCTGCAAGAATTTAATCGTCATGGAGGAAGTTCTACCCCGGTGAACATAACATTTTCAAAATACTGTGTGATCTTGCAAGGTCTCATTCACATGTCTCAACATCAGCTCAATGTCAAAACATTTGATGAAAAATCGAAAGAAAAAAAAACCCACACTTCAGTGCAGAAGTGCATTTCTCATTTTTTAGCTTTTGACCTTTTTCTAGCTTTTTTTCTTTCTTAAACAAAAAATCGACATTCAGCCCCCCCACCCCTTACCACATTTCTTTTAGCAAGCCGGTAAGGAGAGCAAGACAGTGGTAAAGACAAAGACACACACATGGTTGGCTAAGTGCTAGAGTGTGTGCGCCGAGTGTGTTTGTGTGGACTTGCCGCAGTGCTCTTTCCCGTCATAACATGTCATTCTAGACACTATTACTCCCAACAGAGGCAGACGCTGCAGCTCAGTGACACAAAGCGTAAGGTCATCTGTCAAACAGAGAAGGCAAGTGTGTTTGTATGGGAGTCAATGCAGTATGATGATGCGTTTGTATTCTCTATCTACACTAGACGTGTGGTTGTGATATATGTTGTTTGTGTGTTTCTACATGTAGCTTGGATATATTTCTGATTGTGTGTGTGTTAAGAGATATATGAAGAACCTGGGAAGCTGTCATTCACACAGGCAGAGCACCGTTACCGTACAAAC